TTACATCGTGTGTAAACTGAATTACATTTTGTACAAAATGCACAAAATCGCTCATGACGGTTTCTCTATTGATCGTTCCTGCCCCAAATCCGATATGGGACCATTTTAACAAGAAAGTTGCCGAGTTAAAATAAAAGGAAATGTTAATGACTCTCAACAATATAATACGATTTTTGGCTATCATCCAATACAATTTGTTTGACAAAAAAAAATGCACTAATAGTAAAAAATTAGTATAAAAAAGGCATAAAATATGTCACTAATATAAATGATCTAAAAATCACTAAATTTAACAAAATTACAAAATAAGAAAAATTTTATTATAAATCACAAACCATCTTATAGGTGACTGTAAATTGAATCAACAATGGGATTCTTTTTGCGTTATTAACCGGATCACACATAGTGCCATTTACAAGACTGTCATTATCATTTCTTTTGTGTATTTCCAACCCGGTTTACTCTTGTTTGTTAAATTGGTTGCTAGCAGTGAATTGAATCAATCTGTTGCTTTATTTGTAGTTTTGCTCGCTTAATTGGTTCCTTTTTACTCTTTTCATCCTATAGATATACACATGAATTTGGTAGCGTTTTAATAATTACCTTTCGAATGTTGATATGTATATATATACACATGATACAGCTACCCATGTTAGAAGTTAGAACCTGTAATCTGTGTCAACCGATTGCACCAAATTGGTACCTTATTCTTCCCGAGGTAAAGATGTTACATGTCATTGTAGCATAAGTCGTGAGTATTTTCCGGTTACAAAACTAATTCAAAACAAACTCCACCACCCTTCAAGATGACACGTATCATTAATCTTCCAGAATCACCACCAAGCTTTCCTAGGCGACAGGGTCAACCAATTTGTTCAATAGCTCTTCTTCCTCCTCCTTTCTCCCCCATTCTGTACCTTCTGATATATTGATAACAATTAGGAACGATTTTTTGAAATTCTTGACCTTAAAGCTGTGGAACATAGTCCCTAGATTAAGCTTAACAATGGGACGTGTTAAGCTTCCAATATCAAGAATTGTAAATAACACAAATAGACAAGTAACATTTTCCAAACGTAGGAATGGAATCCTTAAAAAGGCTTATGAACTTGCTGTTTTATGTGACATTGACATAGCCCTTTTCATGGTATCTCCTTCTGGCCGCATTAGCTACTTCTCAGGCACCAAAAGGAATTATGTAATTCATACAAGAGATTTTCATGCATTTTCTTAATGGAGAATTACTTATAATTTTTTTTTTCTCAATTGTTGGCTACAGAATTGAAGACGTAATGTTACAATATTTCAATCTGAAGGATGAGGAAAGAGAATCGGATCATGATTCAGAAGGGTATTTTTTTTTTAATTTATTTTTCTACCTTCATTTCATTATTGTTGTGGTTAATATGTTCTCTTGTTCCTTTTTTGTATTTTTTCCCCTTGATGAGCAATAATGCGATGCAATGTTCTTTTCCAAATTTGCAGCATTGTTCACGATAAAGAGGTAAGGCAAATCTTAATTTTCAATGATACTTATAAATTTGGACGAGAGAGAACAAGAAGCTCAAACTTAAATGTTGCACCTACTATATATTGCAGTATGTAATAAGCACCTTAATGAGACTCAAATCTGAAGATGCTGCAGCTCAAAGGTCGTTTTCTGATCCTTTAATCCCTTAATATGGAATGTTTTTGCTTTATTTTCCTTTTGTATGAATACCTTTCTCAGTTGGGATGGTATTGTTTGATAATTCTGATGTCAGTACTGTCTTGGATCAGCTCTGAAGTTCTAAGCGCACAATCACAGGTAAAAAGGCAGAGTTCATAAGCTTGGAATTTAGCTGCAGTCTTCCTTAATTGAGGCCTTGCTTTTATAGTAATGAGTATCTTTTTTTGTTTTGTTTTGTTTGTCTTTAGGAATATAAACAAGAAATTATGAACTTGCAGCATCAACTTGAAATAGCCAAGGAACAGCTAAGGCAAGTTAGGAAATTGATTATTCTAAGGAGACTTAATTACTACTTAGATTCTGTCAATTTATGATTTATTTAGCTTAATACATCTAAGAATTTTAGGCATCAAGGCTTAGAGTTTCTAAATAACTCTCTTTTTTTTTATGTTAAATTCGAAGATTACTGGAACCAGACCCACAAAAATTTACATCGTTAGGCGAAATTGAGTCATCTGAAGAGCGCCTTTCAGAAGCATTGAACCTTGTAGAGAAAAGGAAGGTAAAATCAGCATCCCATTTCCCATAAGAAGTCCTCTATCTCTTCCTACATTGTGGTTGACAAGTCCTATATGCAAAATATATGATTTTACATTTTTCGTATATTTCTTGTTTTAGAGGCATTTATTGACCGACCACTCTTCAAGTTATCAAGAAACTGTTGAGGTAAGTCCACAGCTTTTTCCGTATATGATTCTGCATGCTTTTGGATTCCATATTGTGATATTGATGATCATTTCTTTCTTTGGATTCAATCAACTTCTTTTAACCAGTGCCAATAAAGTTTAATACCCTTTAAATTTTTGTTATGCTGATTGCAGCAAATAAACTCAGTGGTTCAGTATATAATCAATGCACAAGTAGAGGGAAACAGATCTCTTGAGAACTCGGAATTTAGTTCTTGGCTTGATCAGCATGGCCATAAAACAGACGCCAATGGTTCAAATTGTGTGTCTGTTGGACCTGATGAGGCATCTTTTATTCTTATTAGGTTTGGACTTTTTTTGCCTATCAATTTGACACAAATCCTGTTTTGCTACTCTTGTTAGCAAGCAGAATTTGACTTTTGACATATAATCCATTCTTAGGAATCAGTCATCACCACAAGTTCAGAATTCGATGTGCCACACGAGTCAAAATGAAGAAGGGTATCACTTTAGCAGCTTGAATCATGACTGCCCTCCACAATGGCATGGCTCAGTTGAAATATTTCAACCTCCTTTATCACAAGAAACTTCAGTCTCTCTTGTAAGGGCTCTCATTCTTTGAACCATTTATGCTATCATTGATATTTGATTATTTCATAATTATATGATTGATGGTGGCATATTAGTTTGTGAGTTAGTTTAGAAATTTCAGAAATGCATGTAGCATTTTTTTTGAAATTGCAGTGGTACAAATTTGACAATATCATAAAATCTAAGAAGTTCACATGGCTTGGCCAAAAACATTTGTAAAACTGACAAGTAAACATAGCTAATGTGTGTTGATGGAGCTATGGCTTAACACCATTAAAATCACTTGAATTTACGGTACAAATGAAGCAACTTTATTTGTTTATTTTTTTCCTCTGTATCATTGGATGTAAAATTGATTGAACTTCAATTTCATTAACCCTTGTATATAACTTGACAGATTCTAAACCTTAGCAACCAGCAAAATATTAATGAGACGTTATGAATCTGAGAATCATTTCACGAATGAACAATGGAAAAACCATGGAGTTGAAGATCTCCTCATTCTTCTATTCTAAATGATCATGATTAAAGATCATAAAATTCATTAATTATAAATAATATGTTATGCACCCATAAAAGGGAGATCCATCCTATGTTGTCACCTTTCCCGTGAAGCTAAGAACTTGTTTCTGAAATTGTGCTCAAGAATCATATGTTTTCAACATAATCTTAATATTGCTGTTTTATCAAACTAAGAGACATTATTCTCAAACTTGTATTACTTTTGCTGGTATTAGATTAAATCAAGAAGTATCAAAACTGGGGATTTGCTGCTAATGTGATTTCATATATATATCTTATGCCAGAATGGGATTTCGAGTACCAGTGCCATCTCCATGACACCACCATCTCAGCATTCTAAATTTGCATCAACTTGTCAACCGCTGCGTAGTGAAGAAGCTGCAAATTACGAAACTATGGAATGAATATTTTTTTTTCTGTCTCCAAAGGTTTATCTGTTAAAGATTTAGGCAAGAAGAAACACATTAGCTTTTCTTCTTTGGATTTTGATGCAACAGTTTCAGATGAGCCTTTTTGCCCGCCAAAAAATATATATATATATATATGGTATAACGTTTCCAATCCAAAACAGCATGTTGAAAAAGTTCAATGCTGTAATTGCGAAGGTAAAAGTGGTTCAAGCTCAAACCATGATAGAGATGGTTTGCCCTTTTCAGTAGAACCGGATAGAATTTGCTTCTCCGAAGGCATATTTAAACTTGTTTCTTAGTCTGAGAACATGATAATCCATCAATATAACTATGCACATAATATCTCTTTCTTTCTTTCTTTCTTTTGTCTCCCTATATTTGGTGATGCCATCTATAGTGATAATTATTGATGAATAAAAGCTTTTATTTCTTTTTGTTGCTCAAGAATGTACTATTGTTGCCTATACTAGGTAATATTGGTACTTTTTTTTTTATTGGCCATAAATGTTGTACCATTAATATCATCTTTTTTTCTTAAAAGTTTATACCTTTGTAAAAGTAAAATTGATAAACAAGTATCTAAATACTTCATTACACTTGTTTTTGTTTTGAAAATGTACATCTTGTTAACTTCTTTTGGCATATCCTTTCAACAGCAAATGGATCTTAGTTCTACTCTTTACAAGGAAAAAAAAAATATTGCATATCATCAAATAAGGTTGTTGTTTCCACTTCAACCTTCACTATGTGTAAATATGATTTAAACAACCCTCATTGTGTTCATGACTCTATGAATCTGTATAGACAAGCTACTCATGCATTGATGATGCATATGACATATACAATAAATTGAATCACCATATTTGATTCTATTCCTTTCTGTACACAACTTGTTCCTGTGCACAGTTCCCCTGAACATCAAGGGAGGGAGGGATAAAGCTTATACAGAAACTCTTCATTAAGCATACCATTTTTCCATCTCTGTTTCCTCGAGAAAGGGATATTTGTAGCATCATATCGGATACTGATGAATCAATTTAACAATCCCAAGTATATATTTATTGCATGAGACAAAATGAAAACACACATAAGGGTCCACGTTCAGTTAAGATAATGTTAAACTCCAAACCATTGGATACCAAATATAACACATTCAGATAGTTTACATTAGGCTCTTGAAAGCTTGTCATCAAGCGATTGTCACTTGCTGTGGACAAATGGCTTGAGTTTGAGCTGAGCCATGCCCTTGGATGACCTGTTTCTTTTCCTGGAAAGAAATGAGATAGCAGCATATTGGTTAATATGTGTTAAACAGTAAAGGGCCATTACACTTATATTAGCAAAGCTAATTGTCAATAGAAACAATGGGTAAAAATTAGTTGTATGGCTACTAACTTGATGGCTCTTTCCACAGCCTGCAAGTCGAGTCTCACTTTCTGAAGATCAGCTTCAAATGACTGGTATAAGAGTAGGAAATAATTCTTCAGTAATGGGATGATAGTTAAAAACATGAAAAAGAAAGCTAAAGACTAAGTGATTGAGGGGGTTCCTTGCATTACCTCAAGCCTGTGTTTGCAGCATCCAAAAAGATTCCCCAGTTAAAAAAAAAAACAAAAAAGAGTTAGTAAACGTTGTAACAAATCCGTGAGAACCCATGATATAGTAGTTATATGCATAAATCAGGGGAAAAAAATTATGTTTTATAGTCCAGAAAGAAGGCCAATGGTGTGGGTGATTTAGGGCTTAGTTTGGGAGTTGAAGATTTGGGCGGAAAGGGAAAGGAAGGGAGAGAAAAATAAAAAAAAGACACTTGTTTGAGAGTTGTTTCATACGAACTCTATCCTTGAATGTTTTCTCAACGAAATTTTCATAACATATGTGTCCGAAATCATTTTGTTTTTTTTTCTAAACTCCTAAATAATATTGAAATCTCTTTCCTTCTCCTCTTTTCTTTTCTTTTCTTTCTTGCATAACTTCACATATCTCTTCTTTTCTTTTCTATCCTAAATTCCCAAACCAAGCCTAAGGGTGGATTGAGGTGGGTAGGGAAAGGGATGGAGAGCAAGAAAAAGTGAGAACCAGGCGAGCGCTGCACAACTGCGACAAATGAGATTCTGCGACAATTTGCTGAGTATCTCCTGCAAATTCAAAAGTACAAAAAAAAAATAAAAAAAAAAAACCCATGAAAAATATGCTATTCTCTAAGTTGTTAAAAATTGACTTATGCAAATGCTCTAGGATCCATTTGATAAGAAATGTAAATTACTAAATTTTATCCTTTACACTGTGATGAACCATGGTGCAAAATGTGAATGAGCAATAGCAATCAGTAGTACATTATTTTGAAAAGTGTGAGAACTAACATTATTTTGTTAACTATCAAAACTCTAGTCTAAGTGCATTAGGTGGTTAATTTGGAGATCTATAATTTTGATAGTTCATTTTATTCAAATCAATTTAGAGATGTCATTTTACCTCACGAAAACTCGTTCCACTCTGGTAGTTGGTGTTGTTAAGGATGCCCCTGTAATTTGAGCTGTAAAAAAAAAAAAAAAAATTCAAAAGGGAACAATAACATTAACGGTAAACAACAAAAAAAATAAAAAAAAATTGACAGTTAACACTGGGAAACTAAACTCATATGAAGTAGATAAACCTTTTTATCTTACATCATAGACACCATTAAGAATAATTTTCTTCATGTAACCGCTTTCGATAAACGCATGCAGCCATAATTAATTTTGCCATTTTTAATATGCATCCAATGCAAGATCTTTACCAGCTACATCAGAAGTTCCTGTATTCCAATTGATGATTGGAGTGAAGATCAAGCTGAGACATATACGCCTACAGATTATGATTCATGTACTTATAGCTTACAGTAAGAAATTAAATTTGTATGCATGTAATAATCCTAAAATTTTGGTGATTAATTTTTATGATAAATTTTCATTCATGCATGGCTTTATTTTGTTTTTTAAAGAACAATTTGAAACACTAAATCGACCGGACGACTCGAACATGTTATGTTGGATGAATTTTCTGCCATTTTAAATGAAACTTGTTAGGAATTAGCAAATTCCAATCAAATTCTCATCACCTAAATGTGCCAAATAGAGAGAGAGATTGGAAGGAAAAAACAAAAGAAAACTAGAAGAGAAATCAGATCCATAAGGAAGACAAGGAAATAATCTACCTTTTCTTGATCATTGCACTACTTTTGATTTTGATCACCTTTGGAGCCATGATTTTCTAGACCGACGAAAAAAGATTAAGAAGAGAGAATGTGCTAAACCAAAGGATTCAAGGAGGATGAGTGATCAAATGAGTTGAATTTATTAGGGAGTTTTCCTTGTTTATTTTTTTTATGGTTATTTTTTTTTGCATTCAGCAAATTTGTACATATCTATCTAGTATGACGTTGGATGGCAAGATTAATTTCTTGCATGAACAAAACTTCTGTAAATTTAAGGTCACTTCCAACTACCATTTTTAATGCTAGTTTGCGTACGTCTTCCCCATTGCCCAACTGTAAAATAAAGCATTAATAATGGATAAAAGATATACTGACTCTACTTTTAGTTCTCTTATAAAAATAAGATTTATATATATATATATATAACGTTTTACCTTGTTTTGCAAATGGAATTCCAATCATCTATCCTTTCAATTTAGATGTAATTTCATTAAAAAAATCAATAGAAAACACAAAATAATTAAGAATGTCAAGCTAATTGAAAGTTGTCCCAACTCTTAAAATTTGTCTTAACAATGTATGGTATTTTAACACATAAACTGAAGCTTAACTAACTATTTTGTCCAATCGTCTACATAAATAATTCGAGAAAGAAGATGAAAAGATGTATAATTCAAGTTCATTTTTGAAATTTCTAGGCATTATGCCAAACAAGTTAGCTATCAAAATCCAAGTTGAAATTCTCATCAATGAGTAAGTCGCCTGACTCCAGCATTTCATTGTCTTCAATTGCTTCAATCCTTGATGCATCACCTCCTAAAGCATCCTAGTTCAATAACAACATAAAAATTTAAGTACCCCTCAGTCATATATGTGCTAAAGTTAAAAGTAGATAAGCAACCATTCGAAGAAACCATTTCTTTCTTTGGCCAAAAAATATGTATAATTAAATAAAACCACTAACCTTAATAGTGTTGTCCTCAAATAATGAATCACAGGAAATTCTTTCTGGCAATACTAGAATATCACCTTCCTCATTTGAAAAAGCCTGAAGTAGAAGATGACAATCTCAAAATTTTGTGTTATGATAGATTACATGCAAAATACTTAAACAATAAAGCATAATGCAAATGTTAAGAGTTACGTTTAGATAAACAATTTGGAACTTTTTCGAAGTAAAATTTGTTCTTATGCAATGCTTATTACCTTAGGATGGTCTAAGTTGGATGGTGGCAGCTCTATAAGCATTGGGTCTAGTAGGTGGTCCTGTTTTGCAAATTCAAAGATCAATTGAATGCATTCATGACAAAATGAAAATAAATGTTTAATTTTGTATCGGTGAAGGTCATTGTTACCATTTAGTTTGATTCAATAATCTAATTTGTCATAAATCTATAGTGTGTATATAATAATGTAAAAGTATATTATACAAAAATGATGAGACTTGTGAAGAAGTAGCAAGGATGAGATGAAAACTGTTGAAACTTGAAGAGGTAAAAATGAGCTCGTTTTATGAAAAAGCATGCAAGTCACTTCGCTAAATATGAACAAATTAAAGGTAGTAACACATCAACTACATTTAGTGTTATTGGACATGAACAACTCTGGCAAATAATCACCAGTATTTATAACTTAGAAGAATTAGACAAATCAATGCTATAATTGTTTATCCAAGTCGATATTTTGAAATTGTTCCATTATACGATTTGTTGATTACATGGTAGAACAATGCATATTATGACTTATAAAATGTTCAAGAAACTAGTAAAATTTACCTATATGGAGTAATCGAAAGATCAAGTTGTTCTGTGGAAGTGATTTCATTTCCTTTAAAATTGAACAAGAATGGCTCCACAGGTTCATCTCCCAATAGTATATTGCTATTCTGGTCAGGATTAAGAATCAAAAGATGGTTCAATTTTTTTTTAAAAAAAAAAAAAAAATTCCATGGTCATAATATCTCAATGTATTCCACTTTAGCAGTGACTTTTTGCAAAGCTTGGAGAAGATTCTTCTCACACCATGATAGGTAATCAAGTGAAGTGGTGGCTCATATTTCCTGAACAATGACAAGTTAAAAGAGAAAATGTTCTCCAAATAATGATCAAGTGCTTTCTCGGTTTATTTATCATAAATTAAAAATTTCACATAATGATCAGTTCATGTTTACCTACCGAAGATTAGTTTCAGCCATTTGTAATTGCAATTTCTCCGCTATAATTTGCAATTCAAGATTTGTTAACAAAAAAGAATTTTAAGTAAAAAAAACATTGGTCTTTTGTAGTATATGTGTAAATTCTACATATTATATAGCTCCTAACCACATTAAATCAACACAGTAAAAATACTCACCTCAATTCTAGAAGAAATGGATCAAGTGCTCGGTTGGTATGTAGTGGAAGAAGTAGAAAAGTACCAAGAAAGAACTTCAATTAGTTATCTTCATGACAATTTCTTAAATATCATAAAATTAATCATGAATATTAGACAATCCCTTATAATGTGTTAAATAACAATAACAAAATATTGACTGTTATACCGGGAACTAACATATAAAACACCTTATATAAATATGAGTGAAAAGTCAAACTTGTTTGAAAGAAGTATAACTAAGTGTAAAATTCTCTTGGTAATTACTCCAAGTAAGTTATTTGTTTTCACAAGAAGAGAAAAAAAAAACCATAAAAACAAGAACATTCATTTTTCATGATTAAAGGGCTAGATATATATATAAGACAAAGCATACTAGTAGTTGCAAAATTGTACACATATCGGACCTAATTTTTCATGTTTTCATTTTCTTTGCTACTTGTGGTTAAACTATGTCACGATCAAAAGAATCTAAATGAAACAGGGGCGGTGAAAAAAGTGTTGAAAACTTTTTCGTGATTAGAAATAAATTGACCAATATTTCCATTTTTTAGATGGCACATCAACAATTAAAGTCAATTAATGTTACTTTTTCAAATCATAGTGATACACGTAATGTTCATTGTGTATATGAGCCTTTATGTATAAAGATATAGAAACAGCCTAAACCCTTATCTTTTTTTTTTTTTTCCCCAGCAACGATCACAATTGTATAACCTATTCTATCATTAATCTACAGGAGAGGGGGAGTCTAAGGAGGTTTGTGTGTTAGGGACTAGTAAGTATGCAGACTTGATTAGACCAGAAGAGTGCTATGGCACCACCCTTGAACTTTTTTTGCTGCAGATGGGGGTTGAACCCCCCGCCTACCTCAGCAGCTGCCTAACCCCTTATATTTCAATTTTCCTTGTTCACCGTTGATGTGATTAAGTTGCAGCAGCTTTTGTATCTTTTAACCTTTAAACATGCAAAAAAACAACTGCAGTTTGTTTCACTTTTTTTGACACTACATGAGCTACTCGGATGATCGCATTAACTTGTAATGTGAACACTAAAATTTGAAACTAGTGGCTTATGTAAAGTCTGTCCTAGGACATTGCCACATAAGTTGTATTTAGAGCCTGCAATACATAGAGGCCGTTTTGCATCTTTTATATGACAATCTTCTGTCGGTTGTGATATAGTGAAGATCAATATTATGTTGTCATTGTCGTACTAGCCAATGGTACTCATAGTACATTTTCTATTTCCTATGTTTTAGGAGTCCTTATCCATCAGAAGATTCTATGTATTTTTCCCACAAAAAAAAGGGAAAGGAAACAGAGTATCACCACATCTCTAGTTCCTTAAAGCCAGGTTGAAGAAATCTGTCAAATTAGCAGCTCCAATGATGGCTGCCCTCTGCAGTGGCATCATTCTACAGAACTATCAACATCTCTCATGTCAAAGAAACTTTAGAGTCTCTTGGAAGTGCTCTAATTTCCAAATCTTATGGACATAATGATATAACCTATAAAGTAATTAATTTGTGACTTAATATTTTAATTGATATTCAATATAAACAAAGAGAACTATGCTTATTTATTCATGATTGATTTAAAGAAGTTATTTCGGGTTTCACCTCAAAGGTTTCCAACAAGTATTGAAAATATTACTTTTGGCATTGAATTAATCCAAGAAGTACTAAAACTCCATGCTGCTAATGTGGTTTCACAACCTGAGCCTAACGAAATTCTGAGTACAAAATCAGTCTCAATAACATCATCTTAGTATTGTAAATTTGCAATAACTTGTTAACTATTCCCTAATGAAAAAGTTGCAAATTGTGAAAGTAGGATAGCTTTGAATTTACATAAGAAGAAATGAACTAACTTCTTTATTTGTATTTTGATGCAATAATTTTATACGAGTCTTCTTTGTTTACTAAATTATTCTTCTAATTTCCTCAAAAATAAAAAAAGTATTCGTCACATTATATATTTAAAAATATATAGTTTCAAAGTACAACAAGGGTTGGATAATATCAGAAACATCCCCTAAGGTTTCTCTTAATATCACTTGGCACCTCTAAGGTTTTAAAAATATCACTTACCTCCATTACTTTTGTTATTTGTACAACAAAATTTTTAAAAATCCTAAAATATCATTTTGCTTGCTAAATAAAAATATCCCTAAACCACTTCGTCTATTTCAAGAAAACCATCACCTAAATAATAATCTCTAATAGTACTACTACATCATAATGTTATACGCTTATAGCCCATAAAAATATAAATTTTAAAAATAAAAAAGATATTTTCAAAACAATACACTTGCACCAATTTAACTCTATATACTCAAAAACTGATTTCTTATCAACTGTATATTTTTTTCCAACTTCTTCTTAACTCATGCTTGAACCTTTAAAATTGTATTGATCATTATAAAAATCAACTCAAAATAAATAAATCATCAAAAGTAAAAGATAAATAAAATTCAATTTATTATAATTTACAAATGAAATATTGCATAGTCATCCAAAAAATGAGTAAGAGAGAATGTTGGAGAAAAGGGAAAGAGAAAAAAGTGACTTTCATTTCTTTTTTTTTTAATTTTTGAGCTCCATTTATTTGATATGTGAATTATGTACCAAATGAAGATTAATATAGTCTTTTTAAAATTAATAGCGGAGATAAGTGATATTTTTAGAATTTGAGGGGTGTCAAGTGATATTAGGAA